CGTAATATTACCAAATCTATCGGTCTTCTTACCCTTGATAAAGAAATCTAAGTGGGGGCAAAGTTTGGCCTTCTTAGTCAGAACAACGCTTACACCTCCCTTCGGTCGGTGTTCGCTAGAGACTATCCACCATGCGTTATGATTATTTCTGTGACATGATGTGTCAACTTTGTAAAGTACCTTCAATCAAAACTGGGTTTCTCGAGAGTACCCAAAGAACCCCAGGGGTCAAAAGAGTTTCTAAATTACAGAAAATGCTCACGCGTCCCTTCGGCATTGGGACATTCTACCAAGAATCTGTATCTATCGTTGCTGTGCACAGTACTGTCTAAAGGAAGACCAGTACTTCCGATTCTATATAGATTTTGACCAAGATATTGGAATCTGCCCAGAAAAGCAGGCATAACTACAAATCTGCATAAAATGTAGATAAATAATCTAAAGATAAATGAAAAACCTTTTTATTAATTCGATATAAATGAGATGAATAACAGCTTTTGATGCCGACAGACTCTATGGATCTCTTCAGGCTTATTGTGGAAAACAGACGATGGTTCAGTGAGGAATAAACGAAGGGAAAAAGAAGTCGTAAATACGAATAAACTGCATCTGTATGGATGACGCGAAATATAGCACGTTGCACAGCGATACTTATTTAGTTTGATTTTGTGATAAAATCTCAGAATAAGAGGCATTTTGAATCACCTGTATTCATGTTCGGATTCCATGAATCCAGAAACATTATTTCTTTAGTAAGCGATTTAGAACTGAACTCTAAGAATAGCTATGCTAGTTGTTGTATTGATTCATCATAATCATTACAATTCATTTGTAATTTCATTTTGTTTAATACAGTACAAAGCATTGAAGTTGTTCTTAAGCATATGAAGAAGACAATTTGTTTTAAAGAATTATTCGTAGCTGATATCATTTGTTGTTGCATCTGCTGTTGGTGCTGTAGGATCATCCATGCCTGATTCGTTGAATTACTGTGTTCTTTATATTTTTGTTCAATTTTATATTGATCTTCTTTGTATTTCTCTTTTAGTTCTTTTAAGTCATTATGTACAACTAAAACTCGTAACTGTCATCCTCAGCTGCGGTGGATTGAGCGATATTTTTTCTCTCAAACCAGCCTTAAAAGCACATTGCTAGACGCAGTTTTTCGCACTGATTACGTATATCAACTTTAAAACGAACGAAGCTCAAAATTTTAAATCGAAAATTCAAATTTAAATTTAAAAATATTTTGTTTCAATTGTCTGACCTATTCAGCTTTTTAAAAAATTTCGAAAAGTATCTCAGTGGATAGAGAATTAAATTTTCTACAAAATGCACTATTGACTTTATCAAAACAATCTTAAAAAACACATTTTACACGCTAAGCAAGTTATTGCTGATTTTTGCCGAATTCGACATGATACTTTTTTTGGAGCAATTGTACGAAAATCAAATACATTTCTCCCACCGTTCTGTTTTGTTTAGTTTGATAGAAGACACTCGATTGCATAAGGCTTTGTGCAAATCAAATTTATAGGAGTCTTTTTACCGATAGAAATATAACGATAAAACACACCGCAAAAGAAAGAAAAAAAATGATGTAATTCTGTCACAACATCTATTTTGCTCGTAAAAACCGTTCTGCTTAACCGACTCATTCGAAATTTTTACCATCAGCCAAGCATTCTACCATACATCTCTGATAAAAAGTTGGTCATCGTTTGTCCAATATTTGAGGAGAAATAGAGCCCAAAAGTTGAAAAAATGTAATTCCATCACGCGCGTTTAAGCTGTCTAATGATTGAATTATTTCATTTATATTTTGATTGAGCGCTGGTGTTGAATGTAATACTTTTGGCCAAGCCTTTTGATCATTTATATTATAATTTAAATGTTGTTGTTGCTGTTGATAAGCTCTTTTATCAAAAATTGTTTTTGTTCTATCACTTGAATTTCGGTATTCTAACGGAATAAATAGTTGCACGTCTAAAGGGTGTTTCTCTGGCTGTTTTCTTAGACGATAATATTCAATTAATGGACATTTATAACCAGTGTCAACATGTTTTCCTCCACAATGATGGAAATGAATAGGACATTCTTTGTGTTCTTCAATATTTGATCGATTACCGTCATAACGTCGGTATACGGTTTACCTTTGTATGTCCTAGACGATTGCATCTTGAACAAATTATAATTTTTGGTTCTGATAGATACTCATCAACATCAAATAAATGTCTCATTAAACTAATTTTACCACTGTTTAATAAACATTCATATTCATTTTTATCTATTTCAATTCTTACATGACGTGTTCTACCATTACACTCGATAGTGTCGAACTAATCGACACTCGCCAATAACGATATCCCAAATTACGCCAATACTCTAAACTATCGGCGAATATTCACGCGACATTCACGAATTGGTGAATATCTATTGGCGAAAGTTGTACTGGCGAACGGCGACAAATCCGTAGTGATTGCTAATTGTTTGTCTTTATAGTAAGAAAATCTGTTCTTTCATAATTATTACTATCAACTGCAATATGTTTGAATGTCGTTGGTTCGACAATTTATGAAGCAATCCTTTATCAATAAGGTTTTCTTCTTTTAATTTTAACAGATTTGTTAAGTCGACAATGGTTTGAAGGAGTTCTGTATTATTTTGATTATAACATTCATCGATTGATTTCACATAGATTTATACACTTTTAACAAACTCATCTCCGATTTTGTTCACATCAAATTTATTTCGATCTTGTGATGGTGTCTGTAAACGCGTCGATTGACTTGTCGATGTTATACTCGATGAAACAGTGATGTTTTAACAGCGTTTAATGTTCATTTAACGAATCGTAATCGAAATTTGTCATTGTTTGTTCGACACCGGCAGCAAGGAGAGTGATCGAAATATTGTCCAGGCATCCCCTTCGTTGTTCGACTTGTCGTAAGAATTTCATAGCTGGACGTAAAATTTCATATATTAAATGGATCTCAAGAACAGTCCTAGGTTTGACTAAATCGCCAACATATCTACGTCCATCCGATGCTCTATTTGATCTCAATTCAGCGACTGACGTTAATGTAGCAATTATTGCTAAATAACGATTGCATCCGAATCGAACAACTTCATAGAGATAGGTCCATCTAGTTTTGCTCGCTTGTGGTTTTTTTGACCGGCACGCGATCGCAAAATTATTTAGACGCATTACATACAGAATAATATTTCCTGAAAGTTTCAGCTCGAACGGAGTATTTAGGTTCCTATATTTTCCTAAACTCTAATCTGAGGCAAACTTATACCGAGATGTTCTGCGACATACCCTGCATCTCCGGTACATGCAACTTTATCCAACTCTTTTGCTAGAATTAGGTACAGATTTTCCAAAAATCCTTATGTTTTCCAAAGAAAACTTGCTTTTCCAGGTAAAATCCCTTTTTCTCAGTTCAGAAACACTTTCAACAAAACGTAATGTCATATTCAAAATCAGCACCAAAAACTGCATCAAATAATGTGTATCTTAATCACTTTCAAAAAGAATTTTCGATCATTATTAAACTAAAGTTCAAAATTCTTTTGAACGTCGTCCTGAATGACGATAAACTACGGATCCGTAGTATTAAACTCATTAAAATCAACTATTAAAATCTAGCATTAAACTCATAAAACATGCTGCTAGGCTTCGTTAAATTTCCTATTAACAGATATAGTAGAGCTTTACAAATGCTATTTTTCTATACTAAAGGCTAGTTGCATCCTCTCTTATTTAAGGGTTAATATGAGGAAAAATGATCGCTGACGGATGCTCACTGGGTAGGAATGTTCGAAAATAAACCATTTCTCCTTAAATATACAGTGTCTGACTATGGTCGGTCGATCGGTAAACGACCGGTGTTTTTTGCCTTCTGTTCGATATAAATATGCTATTTTTTGTCATATGTTCTAGTTATAACCCAAGTCAACCGGAACCGGTCCAACCGACCGGTTGATAAGTCTCAACCGGACCGGGAACGGGCGCCCAGTCCGGGTTGCAGTTCTGGGTCCATGTACTGGTTTGTGTAGTTTATCATTGGCTATTTTTCTATATCAAACTTACCATAACTTTATATTAGATTTTGAACAAAATCGTCTTTGTTAAGCACCAGTATGCTTTATGTACCTCCTCAGAAAGTTAATTTAAAAAGTCTCTAAGGTTATAATGGTACATATGCACTTCAAAATGTGTAAAGTCATTTTCTCTACAAAGTCTTATCAGAACTAAATCGAAAAAGCAGTGGGGCAAAATCAAGGAAAACCGGGCCTCCTCCTTTGTCTGACATTACGGACAACTGACCCTTTGTCTCGTGAGAGTTTTCTGAGTATTCCTTGATGCGCTTACTATGACTTTCAATTTAGTTGAAAAGGTCTCAGTAAATGCTAAATTTGTTCGCGCTCACATTTATTATTGACAACACTGTAAAGATACAAGAACAATGCAAATAATTTTTATTTCCAAAAGAGAAAAACATTTATGGGTGTATGTGTATATAATACTGCACGGACAATCATAATTTAAAAGACTGTGACGTTTCGTCAGTTTACTTCTGGCATCATCAGTCAAACGAACAAGTTTAAACAAAAGAAAAATTGTTTGTTCTACTAGAACGATAGAAAGAAAAAGAATGTGTTTGCCAAAAAATGTTTTCTTAAAATATTTGATATGTCGTTTGTTGTACAGATACATATATATCTAGTCTTCCATTCTGTACTTCTTTCAGTTGTAAAAAGAATTTTTTCTTTCGTTTAAACTTGTTTGTTTGACTGATGATGTCAGAAGTAAACTGACGAAGCGTCGCAGATAAAAGTTTTCTGTCTACCACCATTAAAACGGTGACATTCATCTTACTGTCCCTGTTGAAAACACCTTAAATTGTCTTTCTATTGTGAAGGACTGTCTGCCGCTTATTTTGACAGGTAGTCTGGCGGACAGTTTCAAAATGTAAGGTTTGGGGGTCCCCCATACTCCCATTTACTCCATATGCAAAAATAGATAATGGTAAGAATATACAAAACTGTTATAGTTATGGACCATTGCTTTTTCAGACGGTTCATCTTTTGTATTTCATCTTTTAGTTGATTTGCTGTTGTTTCTGATATTTCCAGTCTATGTTGGAAATCAGTTGTTAAATCGCGTAGCGCAGCTGTTGAATTAATATATTCATCATACTTTTCCAGCAACGGCTTTATTTTTTCACACAATTGTTTTTTATCTGCTTGCAAAATGCTTATTTTGCAGACTAATCATTGTAATAATGTATCGTTTGTGTCTAATTTAAGACTATGAACAATGTGTAGGGATTCCAATTTTTGAATACTTTTATTTGCTTCATCAATATTATATCGTAAAATTTTCTGACTTTCGTTCGTCTTTCTCTGGGTTTGGTCAGATTTTGATTTCAATTCAATTAAATCTGTTTGCGTTGTACTAGTGGTATTACTCAATGCATTTAATTTAAACTTTGTTAGACGATCATTTTCATTTATTGAAACTTGTAATTTTTGTTCATGTTTATCTCGTAATACCCTTATTTTATCGAAATTATCATTATTTGATTTTTCGTATGCTTTTAACTTCTCTTCTAACGACGATAAACTCGATTGAAATTTATTGTCTAATAAACAGATTTGTGAACGTATATCATTTAGAGTTAATTTTATTGTTATCATATCACTATTTAACATCTCTTGTTGTTTATCTACTGTTTCGATTTTTTCTTGAATTATTTGTGTTGCATTTTTATTTTTTACCAATAATTTTATCAAATCATTTTTAACTAATTTCAATTGCTTTTTAACACATTCTGCAAGATGTAGTTTCATATATGATAATTGTTTAATATTACAATTTCGTATATATAGTTGATACATTCCGCTATAGCGTCGCCTGAAAAAGTGATAGAACGCAAAAGTGACTATGTGAATAAGTGATCATTTTATTCACTCATCTTATTTGTAACATCCCTATTGACATAAATCACAATGAATATCAATTTTATCACAATATTCTTCGTGTTGTCGAATATCTTTAAGTAAGAATTTATTTTCACATCCTCGACATTGTTTTGTTTGATAATCACATTCATTTTCATGACGTTCAATTGATTCGTATAAAATAGTTTCTTGACAACCAAAAGTTTTATAACAACATTTAAGCTCTAGTTTAGATAATAATGAATTTAATATTGGTGGAGGTGATTCCTCTTGATATTTCTTACAATTCATTGGACATCTGTTTTTACAATCTTTTTGCAATAACCATTCTCGAATACATTTTTTGCAAAATATCGTTTTACAACCTTTACAACAAACAGGTTTCCATAAGAGAGATCGACAAATGGGGCAGACATATTCGTCTTGAACTTTGCTGTTAATAAGTCGATCAGTATCGATTGAAATATCATCATCGATGGTTGCAGTTGATGTTGCCATTGGTAATAATTAACAAAATTGGAAAAATCGTCTATGTAGGAAAAAAGTTGATCTTTAAGTTTATATTTTATAATTGTAACTCTCATTTTCGAGAAATTCAGTAATGATCTCTTGTTTTATATTCCTGTATCATTAGAAAGACTTTGTTTAAAATAAAAGACATATTTTTTAAAAAATACATATCCATGTCATCAAAATCGGCAATAAATTTTAAGTTAAACGTTTTCGATTACCTTTTTCGATAACGGATGGACATAAAAAGGTAGACTGCTTTCTTTATGATTTAAATTCATTTGAGAAAGAGTTAGGAGGACACAAAATGTGCGTGTATTTTTAAACAGATTGTACAAAAGTGCACTTAAAAATGACATATTATACTTCGAAGATTTATCAATGTCGTGATCAATATTATTTATTTGCTATAATTCACGACCTATCGAGACGAAAAACGATGTGACTAATATTTTTGTTGAGCATATTTCAGAGTTGAGCTTGCCCACGTACTTTTACGTTAGTTCGTAACGTTTTGTAAAAGTCATAGCCTTCAGCGGAGCAACATACAGAATTGAGGAACCTCTTGTCTTGTAGTTTAAAGATTCCTCTTTCAAACAGTAATTAGGCACAATCTAGCAGCTAACTAGTTTAAGTAATATACTGTTTTTGGTATACGCTACTTTCTTACAAATGTACCTTATCAGCACGAATTATAGACACGTGTTTAGGTTAGAGCAGGGCTTTGCTTAATTACCATTTGAAAGAAAAATCTTTAAAACACAAAATAATACGTTCCCCATCTCTGTACGCTACTCAGCTGACGAGCTATGATTTTCACAAAACGTTACGGACTTACGTTTTCTGGCTGGTACGCTTGAACAGGCCGTGTTGTTAAATTAATAATCAGATTGTGATATTTTTTCGCTGGATTTGAATATATAAAATTTAACATCAATACAGCGAGATTAAAGCTTACTCCTTTTCAATACTGCCATGATCTTTTTCTGCACTAGCACCAGTATTTTTTACAAGAGTAAGTTTTAATCTTACGGTATTGATATTAAATGTTAAATATTCAAATCTCTCGAGAAACCATTACTATTTGAGTATTGTTCAACAACATTGAAACATGCTCCACAAATATTACTCGTATCGTTTTTCGTCTCGACAAGTCGTGAATTATAGCAAGTAAATAATACTGATCACGACATTAATAAATTTTCGAAGTATAATATGTCATTTTTAAGAGCACTTTTGTGCACTCAGGTTAAATACATGCTCATTTTATGTCCTACTAACTTTTTCTCAATGAATTTGAAAAATAAAGAAGGCAGTCTACCTTTTTTTGTCTATCCGTTATTTAAAAAGGAAAGGAAAACAAGTCTTCCTTGTAATTGTTTAGTATTAGAAAAATAAAGTAACGGTAGAAGAAAGAAAAAAAAATATTATTCTTTTAGTCGTAGAAACGTTGTTGATACAGTTGAAAAATAATTTTTTATACTATTTTCAATTATTTTTATTGAGTTTACAATTACTTTTGCACAACAGGTTATTCGTCAGTCTCAATATTGAATAAATGTACTTTTGATCGCCAAATTTTTTTCAGCATGCATCTTACATTTTCATTTCTCAACAAAGTATAATGTACACCACAAACATATTCATTGAGATTTTAACCAAATGAATAACAAAAAGTTGTTCTAACTTTCTTGGGACGCCCTTTCGCTTTTCGTTTGCCTAATGGCTGAATCCGTGTTTTATCGCTAACTTGCCACAAGTTAAATAAAATTGCTAATCTAACAGAATGTTTACACGAATATACTAATAATTGTGCAACAACCCAAAAGGATTCTTGCCACACCAGAAAATTATTGAATATAAGCCACGAACGAGAACGATAAAGCCAATGATACATTCACATACATTCGTTCCCAAGAAAGTTAGCACAGCTTCATAGGCGGCGGAGCCATTAGGCCTGGGTAGGCACAAGCCTACCCTAGATTGAAGTTGAGTAGGCTCAAATTTTGAAAGTTTAAGGCTTGGGTAGGCTCGAACTTTAATAATCTAAGGCTTTTTTATTATGAATTTAAGATGAAACTTTTCAGTAATCGTGTTGCTTTTCACGGTTTTTTAATAGATGACGCATTATGACGAGGATCAATCCATGTTTTCTCGAGTATTAACTTTAACGATTAACTTTAATATTTAACGAAAAAAACATAAATCTCAAGAAAATCACAAAAATTAGCACAATATGCGAGATTTTGAATTTAGAATGTGTTGGTAAAACTATGTTTCCTCAATATTGTAAATTGATTTCGTTATACTTAACAATACCTGTCACAACAGCTACCGCTGAACGATCTTTCAGTGTCATGAATCGTATCAAAACATATTTGCGCTGCACAATGAGTCAACCACGTCTGAATCATGCCATTGTTCCCCACATTCATAAGGAAAAATTAGATTCACTTGATCTGAACCAGATTTGTCTTGACTTTATTTCAAAAAATCAAAACAGAAAAACTTTCTTTGGTGCCTTATAGCATAATTTTTTGACTGATTTTTTTAAATATTTTTCAACATCTTTTTTCAGAAGTCTTAGTGCTTGATTTTCTAGAAAAAAAATAAAGGATTAGATAGCCATTACAGTTGGAAACAGAATTAAAGTCTAACAAAGAAACGCACAGCATTCTCTATTGTAATAAATAGAGATAGCAATTTTCAGCCTTTATTCTTACATCCACTAGTTCTACTATAAAGTTGAGCTTGAGCCTACCCTAGGCTGAAAACGTTCCGCCGCCTATGCACAGCTTTATTATTCATTTGGTTAAAATCTCAATGAATATGTTCGTGGTGTACATTTTACTTTGTTGAGAAATAAAAATGTGAGATGCATGCTGAAAAATTTGGTGATCAAAAGTATCTTTTTTGGTGATCAAAAAAATTGATACCACTCAATATTGTCTTCGAATCATTTGATGTGATGACTTTAATTGTTCAGAGAATGGCAAACAAACTCTAAAAATATCTTTTTCATAAATATAGTTTTATTTATCGAACGATTCAACCAAATCAGACTTTAATTCGATTAAGGTGTATAAAAGACAGATATTGTCACTTAATCTTCACGCTTTTTTTCACATTATTCTTCTTTCTCGCTCTCTACGTTTACCCTGTCCATTGCTTTAGAGTAGAATCAGGCATAAAATAATATATATAATTTGCCTGCACTTTTCTTCATCTGTTTGAAGAATTCTTATTGTTGATTATTTCTAAAGTTGATTGGAAAATAAGCTCAACATAAAAGACACCTATATTCAGGTATTAATGACAAAACTTCAAGTAAGGTCAAGGAAACATAGATTACTTTTTATCTGGAAAAAGATGATGCTAATATGAGTGAAATTCTTGCAACTTGCCAAAAGATTTGTTGTGTGTTTTCGTGGTTACGTATCATTGAAGCGACTGAAGTCAGAATGAATCTAGTAAAACGCAGTTTTATAAGTTTTTTAAAAGAAAGTCAATTCCTAAAGTTTATTTACAAGTACATTGTACGAAAAAAAACATTTGCCGTGAGATCAGTTAGCAGCCAAATTAAACGTAAATTCTGTTAAAGTGTATCAGGGCTGGGCAACTTCAACTCCGGAGTTGAGAATTTCTTTGGTGGAGTTGGGTTTTTGAACTTTTATTCTCAACCCCGTTTTCCATTTTTTGGAATATTCAATAGTGGTAAACTTATCTTCTAAACGATTGAGTGGCTATATTCTATAATGTTGTACATACTTTGTAATAACATTCATAAGGCATACCATCATCATCCCACAGTCCTGAAAGCAGTAAAGCACTTTTTTCCAACGTTTCACTTAAAAGGCAGATGTCTTTGGAAAAATTTTAAAATTGTTTTTTTAAAGCTTATTATATACAATCAAAGATTGTCTACAAAATAACTTTGCCACGATGTTGATTGGACATTCCAATAACATATAATGAATTATTTTATAATACGAAATCGAAATCTTAATTAAATTTAATTATTTTAGATTATTGGTTTAGACTTTGTAAACTATTACTATAACTACAATGTTTTAACCTCCTGTTTCGAGTTGTCAGACAGTTTTCGATGAACATGATAGATGTGAAGATAAACTGTGAATGATTGAGAATAAAACGATGTTTCTAATATGTTAGTCATCACCAAATAACAAGTGTGCCATCACTACGTTATCCAAAAACTGAAGCCTTCCTCGATCTCATGTTTCAAAAATATGAATGAGATAACGACTGAACTGCACAAAATGGTGCAAAAATGAGATCCCTAGATGCTGTATTTATTAAAATAAGTAAACGCTTGCCCAACCCGATCCGATGAATATTTGATCAACAATAATATTTAGAATCGTATTGTTTAATTTCAAGAAATGACTTATCAAATAATACGTACCAAATCTAATCTTACCATAAACATCATTGCATTAGAAAAACAACGACAAAGCTTTTGATAATAATGGGTTTGGTACCAATTATTTTGGCATTTTGTAAGCTATTTGTATAACTACAATGTTTTAATCTCCCTTTCGAGTTGCCAGACAGACACGATAGATGTGAAGATAAACCGTGGATGATTGATAATAAAACAATGTTTCTAATATGTTAGTCATCATCAAATAACAAGTATCCGATCACTACATATTATTTTATTTTGTTGAAAAGAAATAACATTTACTGAGTTTATCTCGCACAAAAGTCGTCTTCCACATTTTGTTAATATTTTCTTTCTATTTCATACTTTGGAAGCTTTACTTTTTGAGTTGGAGAGATAAAAAATGACACGTTTTACGTTAGTTTATTCAGCAGTTGTGTCTCTCATAATTTGTTTTAAACTGGAAGCAAATAACGATAATTACAAGTATGGTGGAATAGTGGTCAACGGTTGGGAGTTTGTGAAAGAATTATTTATACAAAATTTTATAGATGGCCACGATTTGGGTGCATCATTAGCTATT